CTTGGGGAAAGTTGAGACAAAATATAAATTTTTTTCAAAAGTTTCGAAAAATAGAAAATGCTGGAAATTGTCTGAAAAGCGCACAAAACCAAAAATGTTTGAAATTTTTGAAAAAAATTTAGAAGTGAAATTTTTCAAATTTTTCTGGTTTTGTGCGGGTTTTGGACAATTTCCAGCATTTTTTGATTTTTTGAAAATTTTCAAAAAGTTCAAAATTTCACCACATGACGCCTTGCAGAAACGGTCTCTCTCGGTGTGTTTCTGATGTACGGTGTATCTAGCGAACGCGCTCTGTGCCTGACTCGGGCTCTGCAAGGACCGGTCTCCGTATGACACGGCTCTTACGTGCCGCCTCTGAGAAGTCCAGAAGCGGCAGACTGCACGTGAGGTAGACACGGACCTGCAGAGACCGAGTCCTGCAGAGGCCGGTTGGTGCAGACACTTTTAATTTTTTCAAACATTTTTGGTTTTGTGCGCTTTTCAGACAATTTACAGCATCTTTGATTTTTCGAAAATTTTGAAAATTTTTAATATTTTTTCTAAATTTTCCATAAGAGATGGCTGCGAAAGTCGATGAATGCCTCATCATGTCTCTGCCGGACTCGCCCTCTATATCACCCGGTTGCTGCCTGCCTCGGTGTCTGCACCAACCGGCCTCTGCAAGACTCGGTCTCTGCAGGTCTGTACCTACCAAAAAAAATTGAAAAACTTCTCTTTCAAAATTTCTCTACAGGACTCGATTTCTGGCTCAATGGGTCTATGACGGACTCGGTCTGTGCGTCACCATGTCTCTGCCGTACACGGTCTCTGCTCTCACCCGGGTTATGCACAGACGCCTCGTGAGAGATAGTGTTATATCGAGAACGGGTGGTGCAGAAACCAACTCGAGCTGAGACGGGTGTGTCTGAGACAGAGAACTACAGGGAACACGTGCAGCAGAGACCCGTTCTGACAAGGGACTGATGGGAGAGTTTTGGAAAATATGAAAATTTTCAAAATTTACAAAAAAAATCAAAAAATGCTGCAAATTAACTAAAAAGCGCACAACTGAAAAAATTTGAAAAATTTCATCTTCAAAAAAATTTCAAAAATTTCGAAAATTTTTGTTTTTGTTTTTGTGCGCTTTTCAGACAATTTGCAGCATTTTTTTATTTTTCGAAAATTTTCAGAATTTTTAAAATTTCACTAACCGATCCCTGCTACACTCGGCATCTGTCAGTCTCTCACCAGGTCTCTGCAGGACTCGATTTGAACGTTTTTAAAAATTCTCCCCAACCGACCGTCAGAAACTGTAACTTCCAGACCCAGGCTCCGTATGACTCTCTGAAGTCTGGTTACACCAGAGAAGGGTGAGACAGATCGAGTTTGGTAGAGAACGGGAGACACAAAAATCGCGTGAGACAGACGGTGTATGGCAGGCAGGCAGAGATCGTGTCGGACAGAAACCGGTCGAGACAAATACCGGGTGAGACAGATAGCGAGCCTGGCTGAGATATGGTTTGGCAGAGATCGATTCTGATATGGATCGGGTGGGGAAATTTTGGGAAAAATTTCAAAATTTTCAAACAATAAAAAATGCTGTAAATTGTGTAAAAAGCGCACAATATATTTTGAAATATTTCATAATTTTTTTGAAGTTAAAATTATTGATTTTTTAGTTTTATGCGCTTTTTGGACAACTAGCAATTTTTATTTTTAGGAAATTTTGTAAAAATTGACAATTTTCTTCAAAATTCTCCCCACCCTTTCCTTGCCAGAACCGTCAGAGAACGAGTACGGCAGAGACCGGGTGAGGCAGGGTCAGCATACACAGAGGGTGAGGCTGAGACATGCAGAGAACCTGTGTTGTAGAGACGTGTTTTGGTGAGGGAAATTCTGGATTTTTTCAAATTTTTCGAAATGTTTAACAATTTTTCGAAGTTGATCATTCTCTAATTTTTTAGTTTTGTGCGCTTTTTGGACAATTTCTAGATTTTTCGATTTTTTTTTAAAATTTTCAATTTTTTTTCCAAATTTCTACCCACCCGTTCCCTGCCAGAACCATCAGAGACAGGGTATGTCAGCGACTGGGTGAGACACGGACTGATTCTGGCAGAGATCTGTAAGCTGATAATCTGAATTAACTGCAACAACCCAAGATAAAACAGTTGCTGAAACAGTTTCACAGTATAGTGGTTACAGTAATTTATGGCCAGTGGAATATTCAAGGGGAAGGCTAGGAGCGAGTCACTTGTACGATAGTATAATGTTTTGTCTGCCTCCAGGAAGGACAAGGAGCTTATTGGACTGAATGTCCAAACAAAATAAATACAGTGACCTTGCCACCTCAAGTACACAGAGTAGGTCTATCCGCCAGCTCTGCTAGCTTCTCGACCAGCCAAAAACTACTGCACCTGCTATACTGAAAATGATATTAAGTACAGAGAGTAGTTTCTAAACGAAATATTCAAAGCCTTTTAACTACAATCTTTTACATGTTAAGCTTTCACAATAAAATAAATAAAAATTGTACACAGAAGTTCACATTCAATTAATTTCAATGTATGAGTAATGTATGATATAGAAGAAAATACACCTAAGTTCCAAATATTATATATATTCACATTTTTCTTCACAAAATTTGCTAGTAACAACAGACCACATGTAAAGCTAAATATATTGTATAATGAAATAATTAAAGTGTGAATAATTATTTCCTGGCCAAGAAACTGACAATGATTTGCACACGATTAATTTAGGTATTATACATAAACCAAGTTCAGCGTGCTTCGTTATGAGTAATCACATCACAAAGGTTCATCACCAAATTAACCAAAGCCCTCCGCCATTTCATGTCTTGGGCCAACAAAATCCATTCACCTTCAACTCCTGCCTCCCATAGATCCTGCTTGATATTATCCTCCCATCTAAGTCTAGGTCTCCCCAGTGGTCTCTTCCCTTCAGGCTTCCCGACTAATCCCCAGTGCACACCTCTTGGCCCATCCATGCATGCCACATGCCCCACCAATCTCATTCTTCACGCCTTAATCACCCTGACAATATTGGGGGAGGAATACAAATTTTTAAGCTCATCATTATGCAGTTTTCTCAGTACCCCATCATCTTCTCTCCTAGGCCCAAATATCCTCCTCAACACCCTATTCTCAAACACCTGCAATGTGTTCCTCCCTCAGAGTGAGACACCATGTTTCGCACCCATACAAAACAACAGGTAAAATTATTTTGAATATTTTAATCTTCAGGTTCTTAGAAATCAAGCAGAAAGTCAAAATATTTTCAGCTGAGAAGTAGCAAGCATTTCTGGAATTTAGTCTCCTCCTAATTTACTCATGAATATAATTTTGATTTCTTATTGTTGTTCCCAGATATTTGAACTTTGTTACACTTTCAAACGAAAAAACCCATCCTAATATGATTTTTCCCGCCTGTCTGCTGACGATGATTTCTGTTCAACATCAAACATAGTTCTATCTCATATGAGTAAATGGTTTACTGCTAACAAGCTGGCCCTAAATCTAGATAAAACGAATATAATAAAATTTATAACAAATAGCTCACCACAATGTGCTTTAAGTATTGGTTATAATGGGAAGTATATACAAGAGTCAATAAACACAAAATTCTTGGGTTTGCAAATTGATAATCACCTAAATTGGACTAATCATATTGATAAACTGATACCTAAGTTAAGTGGCGCAGTTAGATCTCTGTTGCATGTCAGCAACACTGACACACTCAGATCAGTATATTTTGCCTATTTTCACTCTTTAATGAAATATGGAATAATTTTTTGGGGAAATTCATCAAACATCAAAAAGATATTCACTTTACAAAAGAAAATTGTTAGATTATTGGCTGGTGTAAAACCTAGGAATTCATGTAGAAGTCTATTTAAGAGATTAGAAATCTTACCTCTTCCATGTGAATACATATTCTCATTAATGAACTTTATTGTAAATAACCAAGAACTCTTTCAAACTAATTCTGCTATACACCATGTCAACACAAGGAATAAAAATCAGCTTCATAGACCAATTGCCAACCTCTCATGTTTTCAGAAGTGTGCATATTATGCAGGGATCAAAATTTTCAACAGTCTACCATCTAATCTCTCAAGTCTTGTAAATAAAAAGGCACAATTTAAACCAGCACTGAAAAGATACTTAATTACACACTCCTTTTACTCTGTTGATGAATTCATAATGTCTACAAGTAAGTCGTAATTTATCCTTTGTTTGTATTTTTGTGACATTTATATGACTTGTATTTGTATAACATGTATTGTATTAATTATGACTTATTCTACATCCTATTGTCATCTGACTAACTTATGGATCCATGGAATGTAATAAAGATGTATGTATGTATGTATGAGATACTAACATGAACATAGTTTTTCTGAATTTACTTCTAGCCCCACCTGTCTACTAGCCTCTAGTAAAATTTGTATTTCTCATTATTGTAATTATATCGTCACCCAATATATTAACATCATCAGCATACGCCATTAACTGATGTGTCCCATTCAATTGCAAACCCTTCTGCCTATCTTGGACTTTCCTGATGGTGTATTTTAATGCAAAGTTAAGGAGCAATGGAGACAAAGCATCTCCTTGTTTCAGGCCAGTTTAGTTGTGATACAGAATATTTTACTTTTACGGTGCTGTTATGGGCAGGAAGAGTGCAGGAATAACAAGGTAATGGTGTGGGATTTTGAGGTTATCTTCAAGAAATTTAACGTAGAGAAAGCTGAATTGAATTGTGATAGTAATAACAGATTTGTAGGAATATCAGCGTGTAACAGGAAACAGTAGTTTACCTCTGAAATGTCGGTCAGCTTCCACCAGATTCGAAGGTACAATACACCAGAAGACACCTTCAGATTTTTAAAACTATGTTCCTGTGGTGTGGATAAGTGGGTTGAATTGTAGTTATAGTTTTTACCGATTGGCTGCTATATCGTTTTTCCACGTTTCACGGTCGTTGAGGACAGATGGCAGTACAATAAGTACGTACCGTAATCGACTACGTTCATTGCCAGATTTTTAACATGAACTTATCGATTTATATGTTGGTATTACCTGAAAGCTACATGGTTATAGGAAGTATATGTGATAGTAAGTATGCTATAAAATTGTTATTGCTTAACAGTTTGTAATCATAAATATAATTAATATATCGATGAAGCATCGCGCAGTGATGGAAACCGAACCTGTAGAGAAGCGTCATGTGAAAATTAATAATGAAGCAACTGATGACGTTAGAGATGTTATTGAGGCTAAAGCAACACCTTATACTGGTAATCTGAATGTTCCAAGAAATAACCTGGACGTGTCTCGTTCTTCATCATCGTCATCATTAGCAAGCAGCATTCAGAATGATGAACTTGGAAAGAATGGCATCTGTCCTGAAGATACCTTAAGCAATGACTCGGAAGCAGTGTTGGACGAAATCCAGAAGGGACCCACAAGATACCTACCAGCGGTCAATGTTCCTGAGAAAATTATCCTTTGTATTGACCTGTCAGAGGACCCCAATTATACTCCATTTAAATTAGGGGACGGCACAAAGTATGCACCTCTATATATGATAAAAAGAGTAGCAGAGATTTTCATTAATAGTAAAAATCTTATCAACAAGAACCATGAATTTGCTTTGGTAGTTTTACAGACTGACACAGTTGCTTGGCTTCGAGACTTCACGAATGACCCCCATGACATCATATCAGTGTTAGAGGATATGAGTGAAACTCAACAAGGTGATATCTTTGATTTGTCAACACTGTTTGATATTATTACCGATCATATATCTTTCCCTCAAATAAGTGAACCCAATGTAACTCCGCCACCATTTGTTGTCAGAGTGGTTTTGCTGTACAGTCGAAGTCACTGTGTTCCGAAGTTTGTTCATGGTCGAGAGTCTTTAACTCTCTTGTTATCGTCAGACTATTTCACTCTGGATATTTTGTACATTCATGAAGACCCTTCTGAAGCTAACAAATGTGAAGAAATATTCAGTGTTTTAGATGACTTGGATGACAGAGGATTTTCATATGTGCTTGATGTTCCAAGGAATACAACAAAACTGCATGATAATATGGCAAAATTACTTGGACATCCACTACAGCGACCAATTCAGAAGGTAGCATATTACAAACTGGAACTACAGGAAATTCGATAAGTGGAGATGCTATATGTGAATATAAATGTGTAATTACAATAAACAATTTCTTTAATTACTGTATTCATCATAAATGTTAACATTGGTGTATGATTTCATTAATACATATTAGAATGCAGTCATGAAGAACAATATGTGTATCATAATATTTATTATAATTTGTAGAATGTTGAAATGAGCAACATGATGTTAGTTTGATCTTCAATCAGCTGCCATAACTTGTGTCTTAACCAAGATAAATTGGACACATGCAACTGTAAATGAATTCTGAAGGTCAGTGAGTTGTGTTCCAGCAGGTTTTATATAAGGTTTTTTACTCGGTGTCCCAAATAACAGCTTGGCAGTACTTTAAATTTAGCCAGATTCTGCACTTCTCTTGTGACATACCACATACTTTAATATCAATGTTTGACAGTTATGTAGTAAGATGTTCTTATACAAATTGTGCTGCTGGTAATAAAATGTAATGTACTTTATCGGAAATTATAATTAAAAATTGCTTTTGATTTGAGATTCTACAATGGCAAAAATTCCAACTGTGGTCTTCTAGGCTGTGATGTCTACAGGACTACATGCCATTCTCTGAGGGCTCCGGAAGTATTCCAGAGACCACCACCTGTCCCACTAAACCTTGGCCCTTTTCAGCGCCCTGATTTGTGCTCCCTTCCACTCTCCACCCAACTCCCAATGTCAGGTGTCTCACAGGATGTACTCCCCAAGGCCCTCACTAGGGCTGTTTCGTCGACCCCTCTCGCTCTCTCTCTCTCCTCACGGTCCCCACCCACACCTGATTCGACACCCGCTACCATTGGCTAGGATTCGGCTACTCCATTCACTGTCCGGTTCCTATAAACCTAGCACTTTCTGCTTGATTGGCTCTTTTCTGAGCTTTTCCTCAGTTCTAAGGTGAATTCCAGGGTAGAATTCAATAGGGGCACGGCCCGCCACCTCCGATCACAGAGGCCTTCAGCTGAAGTGATTTCCTCCCCAAGCCGCAGAGGCCTTCAGCCGAAGCAGCCCCACCCTCTCTGGGTTCAAACCCCAGAGGACTATCCCACCAAATTCTTTGGGACAAGTTGCCTGACGGGATAACCTCCCATCACCAGCATTAGACCCTAGTTTGAATGGAGGCTCCTGCCACGACAGAACCCCATTAGCGTAAGGATATTCCTGTTTTAGTTATAAGGCTCTGTTTACCATTTCCAGCAATGTGTTCCGTACGCAGTGATGGTGTTACCTAGCAAGGGACGATGTCTTGCGCAGGACTCCACCCTTAGTTTTTGATTGGTTGGTTGGTTGGTGGTGGTGGTGGTTGGGTTGATTGGCTCATTCATCACCCTGATGACGGAGGCAGTATGACCTCTGAAACACTGGTGGACATCTGCCATACTACACTGCACAACAACCCAGAAGACAGCGATTTTCATAAATGAATGAGATATTTTGGTTCTCACAGTGGCAAGTATAAAGGTGGCTGACATCTTCAAAATAAATGAAATGTCAAATTTATACAATGCTGTCTTAAACCTCAAAAATGCAGTGTTCTTGCCCACCTCATCAAGAACTTCATCTTTTATTTAATCCAACTGTTCTTTGTTGTCACTGGAATCTGAACCAGATCAAACCAGTTACCATCTATATCATTTTCTTTCTAGGGAATCTCTTCATTTTTAGAACAATTCATTGGCAGTATCTGATAAGGATTTTTCTCTTTAAGTTATTTATGTCTTTGACCAATAAAGTAATATCAGCAAAGATCAAGAAGGCTGTGTTCAATAAAATACAACCATTTTAATTTCATAGCATTGAAGAGTGATACAAAGGGACATACTGGCAGTAAAGAAACAGAATTAAATTTAATGTTTCACTTAGTAGATCATGTAAATAATGGGTATTTGTAGGTGGTAGTACTTTTGATGTTAATAACATTACGTGACTCCTCCCATTAATCATTTTTCAGTGTTATAACAAATATATAGAATAGTTAAGTCAAACTGAGCTTCCAGTATATTTCACATGTCATTCATGTGTGATTTATTAAAGAATCAAATATGAGAACAGCAGTCCACAAAACATTGAAAAACAAAAATAAATTATAAAATCATAATTGCCAACTTCTTTTGCCTCACATATTTCTAGTATGATGAATGAATCTCGCCTCGTGTTCAGCACGAGGCAGACAGCATAATGCTGATATGTCAAAACATCACAGTCAAGGGCCCTTCAGAACTTTAAAGCTCATATTTATTATGCCAATTCTGTACAGATTGGTAGCTAAATAAATGGACACATTCTTTAAGGTCAAATATATCCTATAATGTGCATGGTACTGAAGATCTAGCAATGTCTATGATTCATGCAGATGCTCAGTGAGCATATATATGTAGCACATTTTTGAATTACAGATGTGGTTTTATTTGGTTTCGTCTAATAAAAATGTGCTTAAAAGTAAACCTGTAGCAAAATTTGTATAGGTAAATATTTATCCAACTCATTTTCCATAAAGAATGGTCAGAAACAAGGAGATGCTTTGCTCTTTAACTTCGAATTAGAATATGCCATCAGGAAAGTCTAAGATAGGCAGAAGGATTTGCAATTGAATGGGACACATCAGCTAATGGCATATGCTGATGTTAATTTATTGGATGATGATATAAATACAATAAAGAGGAACACAGGAATTTTACTAGAAGCTAGTAGAAAGGTGGGGCTAGAAGTACATTAGGAAAAAGCGAAGTACAGGTTAGTATCCTTCAGCAGACAGGTGGTCAAAATCATGTTAGGGTGTTTTTTTTTCCCCTCTGAGAGTGTAACAAAGTTAAAATATTTGGGAACAACAATAAGAAATCAAAATTATATTTATGAGTAAATTAGGAGGAGACTAAATTCTGGAAATGCTTGCTACTTTTCAGTTCAAAATATTTTGTCTTCCTGACTGATTTCTAAGAACCTGAAGATTAAAATACAAACAACAATAATTTTTCCTGTTGTTTTGTATGACTGCAAAACATGGTCTCTCACTCTGAGGGAGGTACATAGATTGCTGCTGTTTGAGAATAGGGTGTTGAGGAGGATGTTTGGGCCTAGGAGAGAAGAGGATGGGGTCTGGAGGAAACTGCATAATGATGAGCTTAAAAATTTGTACTCCTCCCCCAATATCATCAGGGTGATTAAGTCAAAAAGAAAGAGATTGGTGTGGCATGTGGCACACATGGATGGGGCAAGAGGTGTGCACCGGGTATAACGTATGTAGTTAAAAGAATGTTCATACATACATCTAATAAATTTTAAGTGCATTCACAACCCTGTGGCAGGCATGGATGGGCCAAGAGGTGTGCACTGGGTATTAGTCGGGAAGCCTGAAGGGAAGAGACCGCTGGGGAGACATAGACATAGATTGGAGGATAATATCAAGCGAGATCTGTGGGAGATAGGAGTTGAAGGTGACTGGATTTTGTTGGCCCAGGACAGGGACTAGTGTAGGGCTCTGGTTAATTCAGTGATGAACCTTCGCGTTACTTAGCCATCTAGTTAGTTAGATGTGTTTTGGTTCACGGTGCCAACTATGTAGAAAGTGACTAAGATACCTAGCACATAAGTTGATCCAGTGTAAGTCAGGCCTTTGTTACATCACTTAGTAGAAATGTAAAGCTGGTATTCACTTGAAAATGGATAACAGTTGTACTTATTCATACAACTGACTTTACTGTAAAGGCAGCAGCAGCTTTTGACCACGGCACTTTTAATAATAAAAAAAAGCAGGCAACAGTGACAATCATGCCGACAGGTATGCTAAAGGATTAGGCTTACAGCGAGAATTCTCTATGTGTTTAACAATATTATCCTTACGACTAAATGTTCTTGCACAAGTTGCGCATTGATGTAGTGTCTCACCTGAGTGTATCTTTTGATGACGAATTAAGTTACTGGCATGACTGAAACGCTTATGACACTGGGGACAAGGATATGGATGTTCACCTGTGTGTCTTCGTCTGTGCTTGTTCAAATCACCTGTATGATTGAATACTTTACCACAAAATTCACAAGATACTTTTAATTTCCTTATACGTGTCTTTCTTTTCTTTGCTTTGTTCTGACTTTCAGTATTTGCTTCTGGATAGATATTTTTCCCTCTATCAGATATCACATGACTAGGACCACTGCAAGAAGCATCACTAATATCTCTGTTTTTGTCAGTAACTTCTGCTAACAATGGCAGTCCTCCATATGATAAATTGGGGCTCTCATGTGTGTCAGAAATGTGTTTTTCCTGTTCCATAGCTGTTAATTGTCCTGGATGACTGTATTCCATTCTAACCTGCAATTAATATAATTTTTTCATTTAAAAACAACCAATTATAACAGACAAAATGCAAATGCACGGGTAATAAAAGTACTAGAGGTGTGCCACAACAAAGTTCTGACCCTTCACAAATAAAGTTTAAAGCATAAACCCTTCTAATTTATCTAATTTGCTATATAACATACTTTTGCTCCCAAAGAAGCCCTAAACATAACACTTATTATGCTTGGAACACTAAATGTAACTTCCTACAAAACTCTGCTTGATAGATATTTCACTTTGTTTATGTATCATTAATTAAACTTATCATATCTATTCCACTTTGGAAACACTGATATGACCTGCTGTATCAAATAAATTTCAGCTCTTTGTCCTGGGATGCCCAGAAGCAGTGTAAGAGCTTGGACCACTGTACACGACTACACCTCACACCCTATCATTTTATCCAACAACACTAACAACACACGCTAGTTGTGCTTACATGCCATTGTGGGCAACTTAAACTGAATAAACTTTTGTACAAGTTTATCTTCTCTCATTTATTGTCAGATTTTACTTTTGTGATTAAGATTTAACATGATAAGGTGACAAAAGTAATATTCAAGGTAAAATGTGGTGTGTCTGAAGATGGAAACTGATCCTGATGGCTTGGTATTATGTAGGTGTAGGTGTAGGTGCAGGACAGCCCCCCCCCCCGACATAGTACCTATAGCAATAAAGATAAATTATTGCAGATGACAAAATTAGGATGTGACCAAAATTACCTCTGTCTGCTTCCAATTATATGGCTTCTGCTGACTGATCATTCGTCTTTCAAGCACATTTTGCCCTCTTACGTATTCTTGCATCAGTTCGAAACAAACTTCAAGCTTAGAAACACATTTCCAGCATACTGCTGTAGGTAAATCATCGCTTTCCTGAACCTAGGAAGAAACATATTTTATTAACCACATTTAGTGTCATATGGATTAATCTTTTGGGGAAATTCAACAGACAGTAATAAAGTTTTGTACATGCAAAAGAAAATAATTAGAATAATGACAGGTGTCAAAAGCAGGGTTTCTTGTAGAAAATTGTTTCGTAAATTTAATATACTTCCACTTGCAAGTTTTGTATTTCTATTTAAAATTTTGAGGTTTATGTATATTAATTTGTAAAATTATTTTTCATTCTTGTATTGCAGAACCTGAAGTTTATGTACACTGATATGTGAAATACGTTCTTGTACTTGTGTCAAAAGTTGTGAAGTTCTTAAGTTTATGTATATTGTACGAAATGATATGTTCTACATCCTTTGGTTTAGTCCTAAGAAGGATCTATGGAATGTAAATGTAAATAAACTCTACTCTACAAGATGTTTTTAGTCAAGTACACCAGCAACAGTTCTACCAATTGAAACTACATGCTGAACAATATCGTTTTCAAATACACAAAAGCAACATGTACTTACAATTACTTGCAGGCAGCGTCGCATCTTCAACACCAGTTGTCGGAATAATCCTTCTTCACCGAATACAGAAATCAATCCACTACTCTTTTGAGCACATATACGACAGCACTGATTCAAAACCCAGTCCGTTTTTGAAACAAAATGCATTCCATTACCTGATGAGGGCGTAGATGGACCAGAAATGTCAATGTCATTTCTTGATACGTTTAGATCATCTGTAAAAGGCGTTGGCTTAACCTCACAACCGTCACTACAATCCTCACTTTTCTCATTTTCAATTATTACGTGTGCTGGTTCAACCTCAACACTGTTACTATCATCCTCAAATACTTCACTTTTAATTATTACAGGTATTGGTTCAATCTCGATACTATCAGTATAGTCCCCGTATACTTCATTTTTAACTATCACGTGATGTATCTCAAGAGGATCGGTTTCCATCATTGTGCTCTTCCTGATAAGTATTTGACTTAATAAAATTTATAATTTCAAACTGTAATGTAATATTAGTCTTCTCTTACATCCTACCACAACCTATACATTTACCACCATACATTATACCAACAAACACCGGTGACCATTCTCGCTGAGCAGCACGTATTGCAATACGAGGTGCTAAAATTGACGTCATCGTAAAAAGGTCTTATGAGAAAAGAATCCATCTGTGTTCTACTCCAGAGACACTCTGATTGACCGAAAATGGAATCGTGCTCAATTTGAAATGCGGTACCTAAAAACATGGAACGAAAGTAAAGTATTTTTTACACGCCAGTATAATACCGCATGTGTGTACAAATGTCATCTGTGGCATCAGAAAGTAACGTCATCAAATGAATGTCGATATACTGAACTGCGCATGACGTCATCCTTAGTCATAATGAGTTTTAATCAATTCTCGCGAATATTTATCGAAAAGCTATAAAATGTTTATAAGACGTTTCCCGTAATTATTTGAGATAAACTCAATGTATTTATGCTCTTATTTAATGTGATCATAAAAAATCATACAATCTTAATGTAAAGCAACAACCATTTTCCTAAGATTCTCCAATGCAATTAGAACTGAGTTAACCGTCAACAAGTTTGGTATCTGATGACGCCCCACATCACATCAGATCATACTGCATAAATCGTATTCCATCACTGATTGCATATAACTAATAATACAGTGTTTACTACAACTGCCACTTCTCAGCTGAAACCCTGTCTTACCACCAAGCACTACAAGCTTTCCAAATATGAGTCAGGTATCACTCCACAAAGAACAATAAAATTAACAGTTGCTGCCAGTAAAGGGGATGTGGCGGTTAAATTCAACTTCATCAATAATCATACTATGTAATAACGGGGAACACACACAATATGCACAATTCAGGATTTTAAAGACATTTTAGTTTCTTAGAACTGAAGATGTTGACCGTGGTGTTCTGAGTCATAGTGCTCACAAAACTGCATAGCAACACAAATAAAATGACCACAGCTGATATAAATTAAAACTGACAAGTTTATACTACTTTGTCTTACATGGTATAGTACAAGAATTCATGAATGAGGGTGCTTTTTCAGAATATGATAGTTATTCAACTGGCCAAGAAATTCCCTACCATGTATGGAAACCAAAGGTCATTTACCAAGTCTAAAAGAGTCCAAGAATTAAACATCCTATGAACCAGCTGAACCTTCAAAATCTATTTCATTAGGATCCATTTTAATCTCATATTTCCATTTATGCCAAGGCAGCGACTGAAACATAAATTTTCTCCTTTTCTCTCTCTCTGCAGTAAAGTATAATTCAATGGGAAATGTTTATATACAATAAATATTTATGTAAATAGTTACAACTGTGCAATAATATTGGTATTGGTATTTATTTGTATGAAGTGTTGATATTCATATTGACATGCTCCACATCTTTGGCTTGTAGTATGAAGGATCTATGGAATGTAAATTCTATTCCATTTTATGCCTTTGAGCTATAAATTGAAATCACCAACACAGATCATAAGCTGGTTTATTCAATAAAATATAACTATTTTAATTTCATAACAACAAACAGTGATATAAAAAGATATACTGGTAGAAAAGAAAGAGTAAGAACAATGAAATCCAATGTATTTGTACTGTATAATTTAATGAATCATGTAAATATGAGTATTTATAGGTGGCAAAACTTTCAATGTTACTAACATTATCCACTACTGATTTTGTAATGTTCAACCAAATCATCATGCGAAGTATGAAGATGACAGTCTTCTGGGTCATTGTACTGTCTTATCTCACAGAAATTGGACATTCCAGAGGTACTTACTGCCTCCACTGATGATCATCCTAATGACGGAGGAAGTAAGCACGTCTAAAACATCAGTGAATTTTTATGAGACTATACAGCACAAAATCACATTAGTCTTTCATCTTCATCAGTGAAATCTACAAAACTGATTTAAATATGAAAGTAAATGATAAAACTGTCATCAAAATGACTAACATTTGTTTTGTCTCACACACTTCTAATGTGATGAGTCAATCTTGCCCCATGTGCTCAGCATGAGGCAGACAGCAATGTTGTGATGTTGATAGCATAATGTCAAAGCAGCAGAATGGAGGGACCATAACACACAATAATAAGGCCCTTCAACATTTTAAGGCTGATATCTTCTTGTGCCAATTTTGCATAGAAGACTGGTGGCTAAAAAATGGACACATTCTAAAGGTGTAACACTTCCTTTAATGTGCATGGTAATCATGACTTGGTGACATCTACACTTTCTGCTGGTGCTTAGCAAAAATGATTATAGTTCCTTTTTTAATTACAGACTTGTTTTTAACTGATATCATCTATGAATAAAAATGCTAAACAATAAACACAAAGTGTTATAACTTTGAACAGGCAACCGATTCAAATATTGGGGGATGTACACCTTGCATTTTACCTATTCAGCCATGACACAAAAGAAAGCATACAATAACCTACAGAATTATTTTATCAGTCTACACATGGTTCAAAGTAAGTGAAAATGCTGTTTTGTAATGTAGGGGCAACGAGATGACTGGATGGTTAAGTAAGTCATTGTCGTAAAAATGAAAGTACAGTTGTGTTCACTGAAATATAAATATTGATGTGTCCGGGTATCAGACTAGCTGAACCAGGGGTACCAGCATGTTAGCCACCTGTCCTCCTTTCGCCTGAAGACGGAATGAGAACCAAGTTCCAAAACATTGTGATTACACGACCTACGTGATGATTAAAGACCAAAAAAGCAATGTGTCACGCTGTAGACAGAAACCTTTGTACTTTGATTATAAAGTGTTGTCAACTTGCAGGTGCCACATATGAGGATGCTGAGATATGTTTGCACACCAGTCAAAGTAATAAAACCACTGATAGTTAAGATAACTTTCAAGGACAAGCAACAAATCACTGAAATTTGAATAATTTCATTATCACCACATCCATGTCCCTGTACAGTACTCTTGACAAGAACATTTCCAAGGAAATTAGTAACGGTAATAGTGATAATCATATTCAGGTGTACATTAAAGGATTAGGCTTACAGCGAGAATTCTTTATATGGTTAACCATCTTGTCTTTACGGCTAAATTTTCTAGCACAAGTTGCGCATTGATGAAGTGTTTCACCTGAGTGTATCTTTTGATGACGAAGTAAGTTACTAACGTGACTGAAACGTTTGTGACACTGGGGACAAGGATACGGATGTTCGCCTGTGTGCCTTCGTCTGTGTTTGTTTAAGTCACCTGTATGATTGAATACTTTACCACAGAATTCACAAGACACTTTTAATTTCCTCACACGTATTGACGTTCCTCCTTTGCTTGTGTCCTTACTTGCACACACATTTCCTTCTGAAGAATGGCTTCTCCCATCATCAGGTAAAACATGACTAGGGCCACTGCAAGAAACATCACTAATATCCTTGTTTTCATCAATAATTGTTGCCAACAGTGGCAACCCTCCCTCATGCGTGTCGTAAATATGATTCCTTTGTTCAACAGCTGTTAACTGTTCTCGTTCATCGTATTCCATCTTCATCTGCAATGAACGTAATATTTAATTTAAGAATGATCAATTATGGAAAACAGAATGCAAATGGCTAGATAAGAAAAGTACAAGAAGTATGTCATAACAAAATGTAAATCTTTTCTAATTTAACTATTCCATTTCACCAGTTACATTAAACAAATTACACTGTATCATACTGTTCTTTAATTAGGATTTTTGGCTCCATACACACTCTAATTTCACCCAACACCAACTATTACACCAATCGTCACACACTCATGAATAATTTAAATTTCAAAAGTTTTCATACAACCATGTAGTTACTTTCAACCGCCTCTCTGTATCTGTAGTACATATGTCACTGGATCGCTTTAAATAAAACATAAATGAAATGAGGGATAACTACTATTAATAATACTGTAAAATTGTCCTGAATAAATTTAGTCACAACATATATAAAAAATGCATAAAAACAAAAGTGTTTACACATTAAATAACACTTTGTGCCAAATGCGTTTTGATCTCAACAGGTTATCATCTGTGGCAAAAACATTAATTCACTAGTCCCTCTATTAAAATCATACAATTCATGAAACGATGCTTCGTTTTAAAGCACTCTATATAAGATTAGTCAGAACAATCTAATGAGTAACTTTGTGAGGTATTTCAGGTTCTCACAGTGGCAAGTATAAAAATTAATCTCCTGGATTTTTGTGCCATATTGTCTGGTCGAAGCTTACTGATGTTTCAGAGGTGCTTTCTGCCTCCAACATAAGGGTGATGGTTGTGCACATTGAGCCAGAACCTAGGCCACACCAGTGAGGAAGTCAGTGCATATGTCTTCTACCTTCCTTCTGATCAGGATGTGGTCTGCCCTTTTCCCATTGGCTCCCTTGTTCTCACCCAATCCTCAACCTCTTCCTCACTGGTCTGGCTAAGCTTCTACCTTGTCCAACTGACTCCTGTATTTCACATCACTTCCTTATGCACAGCTTACTCATCACCCTGATAATGGAGGCATCTGAAACGTCAGTACACTTCCATCAGTTTAGAAAGCACAACTTCCCAGAACACAGCCATCTTCAAAAGTAACTTTTATCATATAGTAATAGGATATTTAAATTCCTGTACTAGGGGCTGCTGGTTTCGATCAACCCTTTTAAAGTCCATGGAATTGTTAAATAATGGTACCCAGATTATCTTTGTGGTGGTGATGTGTTCTCTTTGCAGAACAGACTGAATTCTTAAATACTATTTAAACAAGCTTCAGCTTCAAAGGGTTAGCAGTTTATTAGTGTGCTTATATGACATATGGCCAACTGAATGCACGCAAGACATGACACACAGCCAACATGGGTTAATCCATGCAAATGATAACACTGAAAATAACCCAACTTACCTCTCTCTGTGAGCAAGTTAATGGCATTTCCTGACTAAACCTCTGTCTTTGAAACACATTTTGCCCTCTTATGTATTCTTGCATTAGTTCGAAACAAACTTCAAGCTTAGAAACACATTTCCAGCATACTGCTGTTGGCAAATCATCACTTTCCAAAACCTGGCACAGAACAGATATTAACCACATGACAAAAGATGAAACAAGCATACCAGCAACATTTTTATGAATTCAACCTTTCTGCTGAACAGCATCGTATGCAAATATATACAAGCAGCAAGCACTTACAATTATTTGGAGACAGTCCTTCATCTTTTGGGTTAGTTGCCGGAATAATCCTTCTTCCCCGAATAGAGATATCATATCACTGCTCTTCTGAGCACAGATACGACAGCACTGATTCAAATCCCAGTCAGTGCCAGAAACCAAAGGCAGCGTAGTAGCTAATGATGATGCAGATGATGAACAACAAATAATATTAGCTCTTTCAACGTTCAAGTCGTCTGTGTGAAGTGTTGATTTAACCTCAATATCGTCACCACTTCCTTCATTTTTTATTACCACTGACGTTGGTTCAACCTCAATACAATCACTATCGTCCTCAAATACTTCACTTTTAATTATAACCGGTAATGGTTTAACCTCAATACCATCAGTATAGTCCTCATATACTTCACTTTTAATTACCACGTGATGTATCTCAAGAGGATCGGTCTCCATCGCTGGGCGTTTTCTTTTCAGTACTGAACTTATAATTGCAATCTAAAAAATAATGACATTTCTTAATGTACTTCCTACACCCACCTGTACTAACCTACAATCTCAATTCATGAACGTACCTGAAAAACTACACTTCCTCATCAAAAACTAACCACATAACCTTTTCCGTCAAATGCTTCTGCCGCCATCGAATAATGCAACAGCGAATGACCAGGATATGTGCCCGGCACAAATACAAGGAAGAATTAATTCGGGAGGACTACTGCTTCAGAGATGCCATAATTAAAGCCATAACCTCAACCGTCAGATACTTCTGCCACCATCAACAAACCCAAAAGCAAATGAACAGGAAATGCCAATGACACAAATACTAGGAAGAAATAATTTGGGAGCACTTCCATTACAAAGAGGCCATAAACTTCGACTAACCAGATAATTGCTATTACCAATAATAATATCGACAAGAAATATTTTTAGACGCCAGCAGATCATTGCATTTGTATGTAATGCAATAAATCAGCTTGTGTAGAAGGCAGAAAAGTTTTTAGAACAGTGCTCAGCAATCACCATAAAAATTCATAAATATCTCTTGCCTTCCAGAACTTGTTATTTTCATACATGCAGCACCAACCAGTCTGATTTAAATGCAACAACGAACTTCACAAGTAAAAGACAGCAGGACACATTTAATAAGTACAAAATGTTTGGACGAACTTTGATGAAAATCGGTGATCACAACCCCAAACAAATACATTTCAAATTCCTGCACTCGGTAAAACACGAGGTGGAATGTTAATGGCAACACTGCCCATTAGTCTCTATGCATGCGAACCACTAACCTAATAACCAAATATGCACCTCACTCATCGCCCTGATGGTGGAGGCAGCAGGGACCTTTGAAACATCAGTAAATTTCTGCCAGACTACACGACCCAACAACCCAGAAGACAGTCATCGACTTGTATTTTGATAACAAAGAGCAGTGATACAAAGGGTCATATTAGTAAGAATAAAAATAGTATTAACAATGAGAAACAATGTATTTGTACTTAATGTATAAGGTACATAATGAGCATTGTAAACAAAAGTACAAATAAACTCCACAGGGGCAGAGTCCTTGAGAAACTTACAGCTGCTATCTTACAGAACCCAAAAGTTTATTAATGTGTTCACAGAAGTCCACTACTAGTTCCCCTTGTGACCCACATGTATCCAGTCACAAACCTCCTTCCAGATTTCTTTGATTCATTGATATATCTCCCCATCTATACCTATGTCTCTTTCGTTCTGCTTTCAACTACAGTTTTGCATATTGTAATCCTTACATTTTTAGATAGCAGATGGGGAAATTAAAGTGTCTGAATGGCACAGTAATAAGCAATCCCCAAATCTAGCTTTAAACCATGAAGGTCATCTAAATATTTAAAAATTCAGTTATAAAAAGGAAAACATAATGTGTTTCCATTACAACAATCAATTGGTTAATGTGTTTACAGTAATAATTACTGTTTCATCTGAGAAACATAAGAAACACATAAATGCACTCAGTGGGCAAAATTCAGACTTACTGAATGTTTAAAGCATTCATATATTCACAACTAGGTTCTAAAGAGCTAATTTGTTCATTAATGGAATTTTAATTTCTTACAGTTGTTTCAAAATATTTCAACTTTGCCACAGTTTCAAAGAATGGTAACTTTCTTGGTGACAAAGTTTTAACATATATTATTTTCTTCTTCGCTTATTTGTAGACCAGTATCCTCAGTACCATCTGGGGAGGTGCTGTGTACTGCTGTATGGTATTTATCACCCAATAAATTTATATAATCAAAACAGAAACTGTTGTGTCCCATTCAATTCCAGTCCTTTTTTTGTTTTCTTGAAGGTCTACTCCTCCATCTACAAGGTGAGGATGCACCATCATTGTGATAATGGGTGGATTACTACCAATATTAACAGTAGTATTGGACTTGCCTGACAAAAAAAAACCTCCCACATGGGAGAAGGCCAAGGCTCAAATTCATGCTGTTGCGCCACAGAAGAAGATCAGACTTGCCACTCTTCACTTTGCTACATTACATCGACTGTTCCATGTTAAAATTTTCAGCACCTCACAGAATAAATCCACACCTAGAAATTATACTAACAGCCAACAGAACACACTTGGAAAGAACTTGTAAATGTAAAGCTGTCCCACTATACACCATGTAGGAGCTTGGGGGAGAGTCGTATAGCTCCTACTCATTCTTGACCTCAGCACAAGATGTGGGGATGAGTGGTGAGCATCACGCCCCGGCTGCGGACCCCGGTACCCATTTGATAGGAGGCCGGGTGGGCCCCCAGAACCGGCCTGGACACAGAGTCTAGAGGAAAAATCCTCTGCCCCCATCGGGGATCGAACCCCAGTCGTCCAGTCTGTAGCCAGTGACTTTCCTGACTGAGCTACCCTGGAGAAAACAAAACTGCAATCCTTTTGACTAGAACACATCAGAATAAATTATTTCTGGCAACACTGACAATCATGTTGACGTATATGTTTCAGGTGGCGCACTGTGTGAATTCTTCATGTGGTTAACCATCTTGTCTTTACGGCTAAACCTTCTCGCACAAGTCGGACACTGATGCGGTGTCTCGCCCGAGTGTATCTTCTGATGACGAATTAAGTTACTGGCATGACTGAACTGCTTATGACACTGGGGACAAGGATATGGGCGTTCACCCGTGTGCTTTCGTCTGTGTTTGTTCAAATCACCTGTATGATTAAACACTTTACCACAAAATTCACAAGATACTCTTTTCTTCCTTCCACTCACTGGTGTATCTCCTTTGTTTGCTTCATTCTTACTTACAACATCTACTTCTAAATTACTGCTTTTGTCCTCATCAGATGTGACATGACTAGGACCACTACCAGAAGCATCACTAACATCCCTGTTTTTGTCAATAACTTCTGCTAACAGCGGCAGTCCACCATATGAAGAAGTAGAGCCCTCATGTGTGTCATAAACATGTTCTTCCTGTTCAACAACTGTTAGTTGTTCCTGGTCACCATATTCCATTTTCACCTGCAATGAACATAATTTTTAATTTAAAAACGATCAATTATAAAACATATAATGCAAGTAGCTGTATTGTGAAAAAGTAAAGTTAAATGAAAGGAACACTTTAATGACAATCATATAAATTTGTTCTGAGATAAATTTAGTCAGAACAGTCAAACAAGGTAATAAAATTGTGTAATCTAAATTACCTCTGTTTGTTTCCAATCCAGTGGCACCTGCTGTCTTGCCATTTGTGTTTCAAACAAATATTGCCCTCTTAAGTGCTCTTGCATTAGTTCAAAGCAAACTTCAAGCTTAGAAACACATTTCCAGCATATTGCTGTAGGCAAATCATCGTTTTCCAGAACCTGGTACAGAACAGATTTAATTTACCACATGATAGAAGATGTAACACAAGTAAACCATACCAGAATAGTTTTATGAATTCAAATTTGCCGCTTAACTGAAGAGTATTCAAATGTGAAATATATATAAAACTTATACTTACAATTATTTGGAGACAGTATCTCAGCTTTGACATCAGTTGTCGGAATAATCCTTCTTCTCCAAATATAGATATCAAAGCACTGGTCGTTTGAGCACATATCCGACAGCACTGATTCAAATCCCAGCGTTCACCCGTGTGCTTTCGTCTGTGTTTGTTCAAATCACCTGTATGATTAAACACTTTACCACAAAATTCACAAGATACTCTTTTCTTCCTTCCACTCACTGGTGTATCTCCTTTGTTTGCTTCATTCTTACTTACAACATCTACTTCTAAATTACTGCTTTTGTCCTCATCAGATGTGACATGACTAGGACCACTACCAGAAGCATCACTAACATCCCTGTTTTTGTCAATAACTTCTGCTAACAGCGGCAGTCCACCATATGAAGAAGTAGAGCCCTCATGTGTGTCATAAACATGTTCTTCCTGTTCAACAACTGTTAGTTGTTCCTGGTCACCATATTCCATTTTCACCTGCAATGAACATAATTTTTAATTTAAAAACGATCAATTATAAAACATATAATGCAAGTAGCTGTATTGTGAAAAAGTAAAGTTAAATGAAAGGAACACTTTAATGACAATCATATAAATTTGTTCTGAGATAAATTTAGTCAGAACAGTCAAACAAGGTAATAAAATTGTGTAATCTAAATTACCTCTGTTTGTTTCCAATCCAGTGGCACCTGCTGTCTTGCCATTTGTGTTTCAAACAAATATTGCCCTCTTAAGTGCTCTTGCATTAGTTCAAAGCAAACTTCAAGCTTAGAAACACATTTCCAGCATATTGCTGTAGGCAAATCATCGTTTTCCAGAACCTGGTACAGAACAGATTTAATTTACCACATGATAGAAGATGTAACACAAGTAAACCATACCAGAATAGTTTTATGAATTCAAATTTGCCGCTTAACTGAAGAGTATTCAAATGTGAAATATATATAAAACTTATACTTACAATTATTTGGAGACAGTATCTCAGCTTTGACATCAGTTGTCGGAATAATCCTTCTTCTCCAAATATAGATATCAAAGCACTGGTCGTTTGAGCACATATCCGACAGCACTGATTCAAATCCCAGTCCATGTTGGAAATGAAGTGAGTCCCGCTATACGTCCATTCATATGTTTTTACTACGAACTGGAATTTACTACCAACATATGAAATGAAAATCCCTATGTGTCGCAACTTCATTTCTCCAAACAGCTCTGGATACTTAACATTTATCTGTATTTTCTTACAAAATATGTTATATTTATATAATATAACGTCAAAAATTTCCGTACACCTTGATATATTTCAAATAATTGTTATAGTATATACAATAGGAATAAGACTTCGATATTGGCAATACATACGTCATGATTTCCACTCGCAGCTCTTGGAATCGAGCATGGGTGGGATTTCCCCTTGGGAGTTCCCTTCGGATTTCCCTTTACGCCGGCTCTAGAGATAAACGGGAAATATGCAGACATAATTACATAACACAAGAACTCCGTCAGCATAATTAGCTTTGCATCCAGTAGCGAATGACTCATGGCTGCTAAGGGTAGATGACCTGATAATTTTAACTTCTTTCATACTATGAAGTGAACCATGTCATTGGGTAAAGGAAGAATAAAATGTAAGGCTTAAACATATGAACTGAATTATGATTTTTGTTTTGTATTTTTTTGCCTCCTAATTAAAACTGATTACAACAGATGACCGCTTGATAACTTACATCTTGCCGGATATTTAGACGTAAACCTGAAATACCTCCCAATAAATATAACAATGACAATGACATTGTGTGTATACATCTCGGACTTCAATTTTTCCTTCTGAATGGAATTTAAACTCATAATTTATAAAATGCTCGGTTACTGGGCTTTAAAGGGTTAATACCTGTAAATGACGAATTGAGAACGACTAGAAGAAGAGGGAACCTGGGATATTTGAACTATTACAGCGTCTGACAGGACTAACTGAGAAGCACTGCTAAAAATTCTCGAACAAGTCTGAAGACCTATATGTGAACCCGTAACCTCCCGAATACAAAGCAGGTGTTCGGGTCAACAATGAAAATTATTAGAAAGAAAGAGGGAATTATAATGTATTGGGGTAGGGACCGGTTATGGGCTCTTGTGACACGGTAATTCAACGAGTTCCATAGCAGACGGGGGATTACTTGATTAGCTGCGCTACTATTAGCTTCTCGGAAAGGGCTTTCCTCCACGGAGTCAGTTTACACCAGTATCCGCTTTGGTAACTATTTGAACATGAACGTGGAACAAAGCACACACACAAGTAGCCTACGTCAAGCAAGCGAAATAACGTCATTGAAAACGCCCATGGCTACCAGTCTGACGTCACAGTGCGGGTATTCCTGACAAGGTTAGACTGAGTGGAGGACCGCTATTTTAAGTCAACAGGTGGATCCCCGATCACGGTAGCTCAGTAGGTGGAAAGTCATGAATCTTTTTCGAGAATTCGCTCCCGGATGTTACCAGCATTCATTAAAAAATATTGAGGACCGACTTTTTGTCCGATTACGATCATTGTGCGTTGAAGTTGTATTCTGTAAGTGTCGGAATCGAGTCCTGGAAACACCACTTATTGACTGGTCAGTTAACTAATATTAAGAAGAATCAATTCCATTACATTTTTAAACGTCCAAAACATTACATAGCTCAAACACAACCACAGAAACAAACTTTTTTTGTACTGTCATCACCTCACAGAACATTCATACTGCTTAAATATACATGTTGATGTTGATAATAATAACATGTCTCTGTCGTGAGTAAATTATTTCTTTTAATATTTCCCCACTTCTCTAATAAAGTCAGAAAGGCTAGATACAGCATATAAATGTTCTTTTCAGGTCAAATGTTTGAACATTCACGTAATATACGATGACCACTTGGTTCTAATGATATTAGATGTTGTGCAGTGTAATTTTGAAGAAATTTACAGACGTTTCAGAGGTGCTTACGACCTCCGTCTTAAGGGTGATCATCACACTACACGGCGCAACATCCCAAAACACAATAATATCATATTTGCTGCCGTGAGAACCTGAAATCTCGACAGGGTTCTGTAGCTTTTAATCAGAAGTCGCTCTATTATATTTATGAACAACCACGTCATTTTATTCCAACATATATCTGTAACATATGTTTATGAATTCAGCGACAACAAAATTTTGCATCCAACTTTTTGTTTAGCTTGAACAAATTCAGTTAGTTCGTGTAAGTCAGATGGCTCCACCAGAACCTACAGGAAACACTTCTGGCCAACCTCCAACCCATGGACACAGTCAGAGCACTTATCACATTAAATCCCATTACATCCCAGACTGTTGCAGCAACGACCAAACTGTTTAATACAGTTTTACGTAGGATGTAGTTCGCAGTTCAACAGTGGATCAACTTGTCTCTCAGCTTCCCTTTAGTTGTAACCGCCTCGGCACGCACGATGCTTTATCGACAGTGATGTTTAATTCTTACTGAAGATGTATAAAATAGACAAAAGACAGATGTACCATTTCTTCCTCTGCCATCGTTACTTCAGATAATTTTCAAAATCTGAAGATGGCAGTTTTGGGGAGATTGAAACGAGGCAGTGTTCAGCTACAGCGAGCGGCAATCAAAGCAAGTGGTAAGTTGGAAACAGTAAAATTCATTATCCCTTTCAGCGCTACCTACGAGATATCTTGTTCTCAGTAACTCTGATGTTAGTGGTTAAAAAAAATACGCGCAGTTAATTTGTTAATTCAAATTTCTGTGACGTTGTATGAAACTAGACAGAGCAAATTAGTGTAGAAACTTTACATTCCGAACTTGACCAGTTCGTGACTATTTTTACAGGTTTATGTGAATTTATTCATTTACTGCAGATAAATCCTGGGATAATAAATTAAAACACGCCACGACAGAGTAGTTTCAAACAGTCACCACATGCTGATACCACTAGACACCGCATATATTCTACTAATGATTTCAGATGAAACAGCATAATTAAATATCCTAAGAATAACAATTTAATAAATGTAAGTTACGTATTAGTTAATGAGCCGGGATAGCTCAGTCAGTATAGTGACTAGCTACGGGCTGGACGACTGGGGTTCGATCCCCGACGGGGGCAGAGGATTTTTCCTCTGCGTCCAGACCGGCTCTGGGGCCAACCCAGCCTCCTCTACAATGGGTACCGGGGTCCTTTCCCGGGGGTAAATCCGGCCGGGGCGTGATGTCGACCACTCACCCCCATCTAGTGCCGAGGTCAAGGAAGAGAGGAGCTATACCTCCACTCCCCCCAAACGCCTACATGGCGTATAGTGGGACAAACTTTACTTTTACGTACGTATTAGTTGATATGGATAGTAACCTATATACAGACAAGATAAGGTGTCTTCATAAATACACTTCGACATGATAACGATTACACAACTTCAACATTTCACACACTGGTTAAGAGACTTGCAAAATGGAGGATGAAGTCAAAAAAAAAAGGACCCTGGCAAGAAAACTGCGAATTGTAAGAAGTATAGCAGAAACGATCAGAAAATAATTTATAATACTGGAGAATACTTAAATATTTGCAATGTAAACAACAAAGTAATCTCATAGACAAATAAATTAACCAACGATGCATGTTACTAAAATTGTAGAAAGGTAAGACACAGCATTTGCCTTTATTTGCGCCCTTCAGGGCGAATTGGCGTTCGTCGTGTCATGGTGGGAATGGTGATGCTGGGGCTCGTGTTGTCGGGATTCTTACAACAGAGCGCCACAGTGGCCCTCCTCACCCTCAGCGATCATTTGTCGTCAGTCGATTTCGCCGAATACGTGACCAACACGAGTTACGTCACAAGGTACTGTAACTCGTTCAATGACACGAACGAGACGAACGTAGGGACGGATCCTGAAGATGCAGGTCCTGAGGACGACATCACAGAGTTTGAGCAGGAGGAGGATGATTCTTTTGCGGAGAACGAAACGTCGCACGTCGGACATGGCCGCCATATTGTAGCAGACCCAGATCTGAAGGTAAGCGACTTCTCAGGCGGTACCTGGTTCTACTCCCAACCGGATTATCGGTCAGTATAAATCTTTTCGAAGCTCTCCTCAGTCACTAAAGGAAAAGTACTGCATAATAAAGCATAAATTCAAGTCTGCATGAAGCACCTAAGGGACAAACCACTTCCGGGAATCGAACCATTTAGCCTAGTCAATATACCGAATGAGCTAAGCGGTTCCTCAAAATAAGTTTTTCTAATTTTCTCTTCTCGCTGCCTGTATTTCTTTGTCTCATTCCAGTTGGAGAAATAAAAGTCTTGACGATAAAGAAAAGAATTATGATATTTACACTACTAGTCAGTTTGTTCATTTGTCAATCACATATAATCAAATGCAGTTTTCATTAAAATAGACTACCATCCCGAAATCTAGCAAACTTCTTGCTCAAACAATCTGACGTTCTTGGTCCAAAATCCACTAATATGCTGATTACTGAAACTAACAATGCCCATCACATAAAAAGATTCCAGTCCTGTACGAATGTTCTTAATTCTCCAGAAACTAAAACAAGAAAAACAGAAATATTACCGCAGGAAAGCTACAAAAAGTTAGTAAAATCTGTTGTGCCAAATTAGTGGGCATATATTTGTAGTTTTTAGCTTTGGCAATGAATTCAATCTGGAATGTTAAACCATTCAGATTCTAAGAGACATTTCAGAGGAGCCTACTGCCTCCACCATCAGGATAACATCGTCTTCATAATCGTCGCCGTGACCGTAAATTTCACGGAATTCAATTTTTTTTCAGGTAAAATGGGTTCTGCGGGAAAAAGAATCAGGACACACTTCTTACCTTGTGGATTCATATCAAATTTGGTTTCTAAGTTATTAGGAGGAGTGTCTGCAGATAACCACGCTCATTTTACTCCCTGCCACATGTAGGGGCCTCCCCTCCAACTGATTACGAACATTAATTTGAATGTCAGGTTCCTTTTTCTGAAGAAGAGGATCTGGATTTTCGCCTTCGCGAAGTTTTTCTGTGGGGATCATTGCTCGCTCCCCTACCCAGCAGTCGACTAGCAGCCAAAGTGGGTCCTGTACGCGTTTTTGGGATTAGCATTCTGGGCGCCGGGGCGCTGGCCGTCCTGGTCCCATTCGGGGCCTGGTTTTCTTCCTACCACATCGTAATTCGCTTCGTCCAAGGACTCTTCACTGTAAGTACAGTTTTCGTAAGAAATACGAAACACATTAATTACGACAACATGAACTGCGTGTCACCTTAATTTTAAACTACACAACCTTTCAGTTCTTTACTTACAGCCATGCTGACACAAGCAGACATATAAAAGCCATTCTGCTTAAAAGTGCCATCAAAGAGCCCAAAGTGACTAACGCGCTGCTTTGTTCACAGGGCTGCATGTGGCCTGCTCTGCACATGCTCGCTGCCTCGTGGTTCCCGCCGCTCCAACGAAGTGGATTCGTATCCTGCTACTCCGGTATTCAGATAAAGAAGTGTCCATTTTATCGCGAGACCGATAATTGTAAAGTTGATGGCAATATCAGCCGCTATGGGGCAACGGTACAGTCAGCTCCACGGCGTTCAGACTCCTTGAATAACACACACACACACACACACACACGAAACTACTCCACACGTGGAAAGCTAATGGACAATCATTAAAGCACTTCCCTGACTTTTATGGAACAAATCAACACCCTCATAACATACATATTTAAAATCAATTTTAATATTATCCTGATATAAAATCGTAGATATTTCGAGTGATCCCTTCTGGTTTTCCTTCAAACATCATGTTCGCATTTTTCACCTCTCCTATGTGTCAATGATGGGACAATGTTACAGCTGTATCATTGGGCTACGCCGCGGCAGGACTGTTAGGAACTCCCTTAGTTCTCGCCCTGGGTCGTGACTCGCTGTGCTATCTCCTCGCAGTCCTTACGCTTCTGTGGGCTACAGGCTGGTGGCTCCTAGTGCGAGACTCGCCCGCAGAACACCCACGCCTGTCTTCCCAGCAGAGGCATCAGTTGCAGAGGGCAATTGGACCGGGAGTGTCTGCCAGAAATTCTGTGAGTTGCATGCAGGCACACGTGTGGATACAATTAACCCTTGAAGCCCAGTGGGAACTATATCTGCCACTTACTTTAACTCGTATGACTTTGCAGGTTCCTCCCCCGCCGTGGCGTCGTATTTTGACTTCTCTGCCTGTCTGGGCCTGCGCAATCGCGACCCTGGGCAGTCACTGGGGTCAAGGTACTCTACAGCTGGCAGTCACAAAATATCTCATGCTGGTTTACGGTTTTGCACTCAGATACGTAAGACATACATACATAACATTTTCTGAATCTTCTGTCTGCTTCATTTTGCTCCCCTCCCCCCACTTCTTGTGGGTCTATTGTCCTTATCGCCTTTATTCAACTAATCTAGACATTTAATGCGATGATTGCTGTCTTCAAGGTTGTAGCGCCATGTATTCTAGTAGAAGTTAACAACGTTTCAGAGGTCATTTCTGCCTCCATCATCAGGGCGAAAGTTCATAAAACAGCCATCTTCTTACTCACAGCCGTGACACCCTCAAATCCTACTTATATGATACATTCAATTTAACTTCCAACTCTCTGTTTCTAGGACCGCGTATTATCAGTGCTGCCTCATCTTGGGCACTTCATGGCAGCCCTTACGTTCGGCCGGCTGGTGGACCATGTGAGGGGAAAAGCCCTTGTATCAACAACCACCGCCAGGAAACTTCTCGTCTACATCTGTAAGTAAACCCACTATTCTAAAGAATTTTATTTAACCAATCCAGGTCAACGATGGAATAGTGCTATAACACAGACGAGCTCTTCGTCACATATTGTTTCAATCTTAATATTCATAATCATTTTAACATTTCTTTCCGACGCTATTAAGAATTTTATGTGAGAAGTGGCATCAAATCAGTTAACATTGTGAAACATTCAAAATTCATTTCTGTAGATTATATGTAGATGGCAGCATACACCAAAGAGCAATGTGTATTTTCGAGTTAAATAGCTAGCAGTCTACAGATGAAAGCATGTACTGTTGAATTATCGTAACTAGATGGCAGCACAGACTAAGGAGTTACGCATGAAGACAATTGTTAATACTGGTTGCAGAGGGAAACACATTGCATATTTAGGAAGAGCTGTACAGGCGTACGTGCAAAAATAAAATCATGAGAGACAACCTGCTTTGGGGTTAGAAATAATTGCAAGATTCCCAGGTTTTGCCCGCTTGTCCTCCTGATAAGAGTAGTTTGTTTGTAAAAATTTGTAGCTTCAGACAAACAGCGAAAGTCAAAATTCCTATTTAACAGTGGTCATCAAAATTGTCCGATATAAATTAATGATGAAATGTCTGGACAGGTTTTGGTCAAATTCTCCAATATAAAACCTAACCAAGATTTGTTTAGCGTTGTCGAGTTGTTTAATCCACAAGATTACAAACGCGCCTGAAAAGAATAAAGTCATTGTATTGTAGTCAAAGAGTCGAGACAAATCAATCACATGGTCTGGACACGCAGTGGATATTCGGGGTTTAGGTCCCAAGCAGACGGGCATAATTTTTCTCTTCGCCACACCGTTCAGATTGATTCTCCGTCCCACAAAACCCCCTTTCTAGTGGATATCGCGTATTACTCCTCTAAAAAAAAAATCGCCACCCATGCACCCTAGTTCTGTCTCCAGTGTTGTGTGTTTCTTGTATCGAGCCCACTTCATGCCGGGCGCAGTGCTCTTCGTGGTGGGGTACAGCGGATGCGACCCAGCGACACCTGCTGCACTCTACACAGCTGCCGTTGTAGTTAGTGGCGCTACCGCAGCTGGCACATATGCAAGTGCTGTTGACATCGCACCAAACTTTGCAGGTAGAGCTAAAAGCTAAGTACTTTTTCTTCCGCTCACTGCCCAAAGGGAATGCAAGTACGTGTCCAACCTTCTGTACGCCCACATCTTTCACCTAAACACATTTATCTTAAATTTGGAACCGGAATTTCATACTAATCTTTCTCGATTAACTTCGTTTTAGACCATACTGATTTAATACATAACGTAATCAAACTTAATTCACTTTTTAAAAATCGGCTCATCACACAGAAATAATGCTAGAATATTTTTCGTAAATTCCTTTAAAATATTAAACTTTTATTTGAAACTGTTTTTAAACGATATATTTAAGAGAATGTAAAGAAAAATATCAATTACCCCTGTGAATATATTTTTATCTGAAATTAACCTACCAAACCATATGGAAAAGTTTAAGTGTACATTAACCCTTTGAAGTCGAAGTTCGTCTAAATAATATTTAAGAATTCAGTCCGTACCGCAAAGAAAGCACCACACCTCACCATTACAAAGATCAACTGGTTAACGCTGTTTAAAGAAATAATCGCTATTTACACTGAGAATTATTCGAAACCCACAAATACACTGATTGTTAAAGCAGGTGCATTGGGCAGCTTAGAGGATTAAGGCGCACGTTCAAACATATATTTTCAAAATTAAAGCTGCTATGAAACGCTCAGCGTAAGATGGATGGTTTCTGTACTTCCAGGAACGGTTTTTGGTATCAGTCAGACTTTTGGGGCTGCAGGAAACCTAGCATCCAGTTACGTAGTGAAGGAAGGTCTCCATGGATCAGTAAGTAATCTTCGAATTTAATGTTAAGACGTTCGGAGTTTACACAGACAGGCCTCAAACTCAAAACTTTCTGCACAGTTGCCTGGCTCGTGGCGCCTTGTGTTCGGGGTAGCAGCTTTTGTCTTGGCGTTGACGGCCACAGTCTTCATGGCTATTGGCAGTGGCACAGTCCAGCCGTGGAACTACTTGGCCGATCACCGGACAGGACCTCAGGAATCAGCATCAGAAGACGAGGCAGTGGAAGAAGAACCAGTGGCAACAAGTATTGAAGTTGACACCGCTTCCACATCACAAGAATCTCCCGAAACGTCAAGTAAAACAAAAACTGCCACAATGACGACTGAGGTATAATCTCAAAGGAAAAATAAATAAGAAATTTTAGTTATACATATCCTTGTTCTCAGGCAACCGAAAAAGTGTTTTTCTTCCTTAACGTGAGGTAAAATTTTAGTTTTTAATATTTTAATCTTTACGCTTTTAGACAGCAAATATGCAACCAAAATATTCTGAACTGCATCCCCCGAATTAAATCTGATCTTAATTTTTCCCAAATACAAATTTTTTTTGTATGTCGTTCCCAAAACTGAACCTTTCTATATTTTCAAAGTATTCATTTGCTACATTCACAAAGTGATTTCGTCCTGCGGTGTGGTGACGAAACGTAAACATACACTTTTTTTCTCTGCGTTTACTTCTAGACTATCTCTCTACTGGCGCGTAATATTTTATGCGTTATTCTTCATGGTACTTACCCTTTCGCCCAATAAAATATCATAAATACGGACAAGAAACTGATGTCTCCTAGTGAATTAAAACTCCTCTGTTTACTAGGCCCAAAAATGTTAACTTCGTGCCGGGTCTGAAACAGTGGGCGGGGCTCGAATTGTAGCCTATGGGACAGGGGTTCGTTGTTCTTAACAGGACTCGCTGCGGAACTACATTGCTCCAGATGGTGAATAATAGGAAGCTTCAAGTTTCCTTTTATGATAAATATTAAGTCTGATAGAACATTTAATTCATGATTTAGTTATATCCCACGCCTTGTACAGGTTGAGAAAAACCACGCAAATATATGGCTTTGAAACACAAATTGGTATCAATATTTACTTTCTACACCATTTATTTTAACTATCACAGTATGCATTGTAGGTGTATGTTTTCAATTAAATACAAAACATAAAAATACTGGTCACATGTTGATCACGATTAGTTAAAAGAACTTAATAAATGATCTACAATTTAAACAAACTCAATTTTTGTGAACAAAATCAACTACGATCGTGTTGATTTTGAGATTCTGGGTTGGGATATCGTGTAGGTGGTTACCAACGTTTTCGTTGAACACATCATCTTCTTCTTTGGGGTTGAGATGACCTGAAGATGGAAGTGATGTCATAACCCACGATTCCACAACCGATATCTTCACTGCTGTGACAACCTCAAATCTCAGATTCATTATCAGTTAGTGCTGCCATCTTCTAATTAAAAACAAAATGTTTGTATGTAAAAGTTTTGAGATTTGTGTTTCTGTTTAAACCCTGAATAAAATGTGCCTAAATGTGTTTAATACAAGCCTTATTATGCAAATAATCTGTGTATCAACATCCAAATTAAAAATGTTATTTAAACATAAAAATGCAAATTTATACGTGCACAAATGCGTTCCTCCGCACTTTTTTTATTCGAGAACCACAGAGTGTGAAACAAAATTACATTCAAATGCTACTTCTGTGATGGCTGCTCTTACAAAACTAATATAATTTATTTATTTTTATTTTTACCGTTCCAAAATGTGTCTACCGCGTTAACTTCAGAGTATATCATCACTTTTTTCAATGACCTTGATATTACTACTCGCACTGATCCGCCATATTTCAAATTATTTTTAAATATTACAACAAATAATTGCAGACCTACTCATTTATAATTTCACTGCAATACAATACAATAAATCCGAAAACCAAATGTATTAACTAACTAGTAAAATACAATGTATTTACAAAACAAACACTGGGCTCAACAAGTTAAAAGCAAACAATGTGGATAAATAATGATAATAATTATATAGTCTAAAACAAGCAATAGGTATTAACTTCATATGCCACATAACATGTATAAAAATGTTTAAACGGAAAAAACTCAGACCCCACCTCGAAATTCTTAATTCTATTCTGAGCGAATAGTATTTTCCTAATTTTCTTTTAAAAGTCTGTTCAAAAGAAATCCATACTTCCTGGGATTACGACCGAGAGGGGCCATCTGTTGACCTCTTGGCTGTCGTCTCCTCAGTGACGGGGTCAAGGATCTGGACGTTTCGCACGGGGACATGCGATCGAGGCCTGACAGTGGTAGTTGTGGTTGTGCTGTAAGGCTGTGACCTTTCCTGTATGTTCGGGTTCTGCTCCACGGGTCTGTGCTGTATCCTGCCTTGCTGGGCTGCGCGAACAGCTAGCAACATGCGCAGGATCAATGCGTCTCTGTACTCGTCTGGTAGGAAATCCTGAGGATATCCTACCTGCTGATTACGACCGGGATACGGAAGCGGCTGCTGGTAATAATCAGGAGGAACGGACTGGTCATTAGCGAAAGGCAACTGCTGAGTGTACACTTGCTGGGGTCGATAAAGCAGTCGTCTTCGTAGATGGTAAGGTATCTGACTTGGATAAGGATTTGGGCTTTGGTAAGGTCGCTGATACAGCTGAGGATCATAAGGCAAGGCTTGATTGTAAGGGGTCTGTTGACCATAGGGCCCTTGCTGTGGGGGATACGGATTTACGTACGGTACTTGTTGAGGGTAAGAAATAGGGTAGGGAATGTTCTGACGGTTATATTGTGGTTGCTGGGGGCCATAAGCTTGCTGTTGTCTGTTAACTTGATAAGGATCGTCAAGGAGTTCTGGAGGAATATTGTTCCCCAGTGTCATCATCAAGGCTATCTGGAAAGGCGTGAGAGGTGGAACTGAGCTCTCTTGACGGTACTGATAATCGTTTACGTAAGTCGGATGGCGCGGCTGCTGACGTCCGAGCAGATACTGAAGAAGCTGATCATGAAGATCGGGATCAGGTCCAGGTGGGGTGTACTGATAACCTGGTCCCGAATACTCGAAAGCGGCAGGAGGTATTCTTGGGTCCAGGACACCTTCACGGATTACACCGAGGGGTATTCTGACAGCTCCACCTGTATTTGATGGTATAGCGCCGGGTGGAATATCATCCTGAGGATACCCTGGTCTCTGCCTCGTGCCTGCTATGTCTTGAATGAACTGACTTTGCAGAACACCGCGAGATTGCGCTGGGGTGAAGCCGGGCTTGAATGGGATGGCAGAGATGGGTCGGGGACTGCCCCCCATTGAACCACCGTACACGTCTCCTGTGTCATCAGACCCGGACTGGCGCGCCCGCAAGAACTGCGGTGGCAACTGCACTCCAGGATTGTAGTTCAGCCCTCTGTCTTGTGCAAGCTGCCTTCTTAAAGTGTTTCCCTTCGCGTGTCGACCTTCTTCTGTGCTGTCTTTACTCTCCTGTGGTTGCTTTGAATGAAGAGTAGCAGTAGGTGACTCTGTTACGTCAGGAGGTTTGCGAGCGAGCACAATTCTCCTCAGCAGCTGTCCGGATGGCGTTGCGCTGTCAACTGGCTGGGTGGGACGTATATAGTGGCCGTAAACCACTCCAGTCGGCCGCGGGGAGGTAGTTTCGACACGTTCCGCTGCTTCGTTGACTGCTGCTGGCGTTACGAATATCTGCTTCACTGGCTCTCCCCCGGGTGTTCCTGGTTGTTGTCGAATGTACTGGCCATAAAGTTGCAAAGGTCTCCTGGTTGTGGCCGACCCCAGGGGCTTCTCTGTTGAGCTAGGGACCTCTGTAGGTCGACGGGACTTTGCGATTACCTGGATAACCGAGGACCTTGTCGATGGTTCTGGAGACTCTGACACGCCCGCTGGGGTTAAATTCTGCGCATACAGAAGGATCGGTCTGCGAGTGGTTGTGAGGGAGTCGTGTACCAACGGTGTACGTCGTGTCGTTACCTGCGGTCCTACGACCTGTTGGTACAGTAACGGTGCGCTCCGAGTTGACAACTCTTGATTCCTTTCGGTTTCGGTGACGGTGGAAAGGCTCCCTTTGGATTGGAACCCGGTGTTGTTGCTAGCAGAGTAGGACACCCTCTTGAGCTCCCCAGATTCGTCTACAAACCCAAACATCCCCTTTACGTTCCCCTGCACGTCACGTGTTTCGATTTTGAAGCTTCCATCCGCGGCCTCGTACCCAAAAGTGTATGACCCATCGTCGTTCACGCGGTTGATCTGCTTAAGAATAGCAACCTGCTGTTGGGATTGGGCTTCTTGTTCTTCCGGTGACTCTTCCTGGTCGCCAGTCGCTTTCACAACAGCGCAGCTCCAGGAAGTCATCACAAGCCACCATGACGCTGCTGCAAATGTCACCTGGCGAATAATCACCGATCTTTTATCAACTATTTCCATGCTAAGATACAGACAGTTCGTTATGAAGTAGTTTAATTCCTGGTACAAAAGTAACGTTTGTTTGTATGAATTATCATTTGCACACTAAAGGCAAAATTCAAGTTTTTGAAGTACGGTTACCACGAAAAAGCAGAAACAAAATATGGAATTTGTTTTTTAATTAAATCCAGGACTGAAAGATGTAAACAAGGACAGAGCTAGAATTATTCTCCGGTATCGAAACGGAATGAGAACTGAGGGCACAAAAGGGCAAAAAATGAGAAGGACGAGGTTGAATAAAATGGCTAGATCATGCGTGAAGGATGAACTTCGAACGTTTACCGTAGTACACTTGTTATTTGTATCTACAGAATAAAATCCTTCTATCTCCAAAGCTTCTTTCCTTGCACTGACAGGGTAATCTGCAAAGGTTTATAATGCATACAGCGATCTACATCCACTCTGCTGATTGTTATCTTCTGGGATGTAACTCCGAGTGGTAACGGAAAGTGGTCATCAAAGTTGCGGAGGAACTTATCTCCCCATCTTATATTCACACTGAAGATGGAGTCACTGTGTTCATCCGAAACGTTGCCACACAACCAGAATGCTTCCCGGCGCAACAACCCAGAAGACTATCATTTAATATCCACGTCGCCATGAAAACCTAAAATCGTGCAAGATTTTTATTTAAATTTCAGAACCGCATTTTAAGGCATGGTCTACAAGGAAAATATTTCTATTTCTGCCAAAAAAATAATTTAAATTCTCTAAAAAAAATCTGGCAACTTCATGGAGATAGCAGGCGCAACCTTATATTTTACTAAGTAAAATTATAACACCATTTGACTGTCTAGTTTAATATAAACTGTTCCAACAATAATTTGTATCTGAAAAATTACCGTCGGTACAGATTCGAGATGGGCCTGGAATGTATTACTTCATTTTCTTTAACAAAGCACATATCCCCTTGAGTGTAAGCACGCTGCAACACATCAGCTGTTCTACGTACCTTGCAGCTAATCTTCATGGTTTTCCTTATTACCTACACACAATTCAGACTGACGAGTGGGGGTGATTTGGGGGTCTACTATATAGTCTGCTTTGCAGAGGGGCCATAACCTTGAGTTGGGGTGGGGGTGGGGGCACAAACCTCCTCCTGGGGTGTCGTGAGACAGTGAAAGTGTTTATTATCATTGTAAAAAAGTGAACTGTATGGACTCACTGTTTCGCATTTCTAACGACTTGAGCTCATAACATAAGACACATTCCCAGGCTTTGCGTAGTTCTTATGTACAAGACTTAACAATCGTTGCATAAACAAGTGGTTTCGCTTTCCTGACCATTTCCTAAACAATTCACAGTACAAAGGGCAGAAGACAAATCTGATACACAGAACCGGACATATTGTAACAGACAGCAAGCATTTGAAAGAAAATTGAGACCAATATGGGCTTTATTTTAAGGCACTATAAAAGTAAGGTATTAAGTACACGACCTGAAAGGAAAATTGAGAGACCTGTGTAATAACAGCAGTGGTTAAGCCCATGTAATGACAAGTCAGAGATATCTTAATGGTGAATGGCGGATTGTGACGCATATGACAGAAATTGGCCATGGTCTATTCCAGACAAAAAGCCTGCCGTTTTCCTTGATGGGTTTACGTTCATAGATTCTAAAGTTAATTTATTAAACTGTTACTACTAGACTCACATAGCGTTAAATGAGCATACATGACAATGATTATTATGAAATTCGCCTGGAGAGACTGAGATAAACGATAAACATCTTTATTCAATAAATGAATTAGAGTCGAGAATCGAAACCGGGTACCGTCCGCATAGAAGTCTCCACAATTTCCCTCTGTGAGTGAAGACCCGACAAAGTTGTCGTAGGTCTGAGTCACGAATTAGGGTCCTCTAGAATACCAAGCGGGATGCTAACCATTTAACGGCAATATTTGGTAACGAAGGGTATCACAAGCTTACTAATGATTGATAACTAACTTCATGGAACAGAGTCCTTGAGAAGTTAATAGGAAGCTCAGTTGTTAAAGTAATTCGCCAACTTTTATGGAAACCGTAGTTTCATTACCATGTTCACAAGGACTGGCTACCGGTCTCTGTCCTGAGTCAGATGAATCATAACTAGATCTCAAATCCTTTTTCCATAAGATGCATTTCACTTTTATCCTCTCAATGACTCTTAGATCTTTCAAGTTGTGTCTTACTTTCAAAAATGTCGAAGAAACGTTTTGTACTCATTTCTCATCTCCCCTATGCGCGCTACAAGCCCCTCCCGTCTCATGGTCCTTGATTTGAGCACCCTAATAATATATGATGAAAAATATAAATCACAGAGGTCATCATTAAACAGTTTTCTCAAGTTTTCTGTCACTTTATTCTTCTTAGGTTCAAATTTTCTCTTCAGCGTCATTTTTACGCATTTCTATTGTTAACCAGATTCACGTTTTAAAGATTCACAAATGATGTTGATCATTTTGGTAGGGTATATGAAGTTAAATCTATATGTTATTTATTTGCCACGGAATAATATCTGCATTATTCCTTCTTGTAATTAATATAACAATCGAACTATGTAACCGATCAACCAATCAGCTGACTTTAGTATGTCTGATTGAGGTAAATAAATTACTAAGTAACCAAGAAACTATTCAACTAAATAACCACCAGACTGAAAAATGTTGCATAACGCGTTCATTTTGTACACATAGTATAATCCTTAAAATATGTAACGACATGGACTTAGTTGGAACGGAAATTTCAAGGTATTTGATATTCGTTCTGTCAATTAACATAGAAGACTAATTCAGGAGGCTGAGGACATTGTTGCTGCAACAAAAACATTTCGTAAAACATCATAGAGAGAGATTAATTCATGTAGACTAAACCTCCATAAATCAAGAGTTCATAATGGGGACCTTATTCCCAGAGGGATGAAGTAAGACGCATTACCGGTGTACAAAAACACAATACAACTGAGACAAAAATACACACGATTGTCTGTTTTGGTTCTCTTAATCTCCGGTGAGATGGTTGGATACGAAACTAGGTTAATTTCAGTCCCACACTACCCCCACCCCTCAACCCGTACCCCGCTAATTATTCGACGAACGTAACACAACGCTGTTCGCTGCTGAGAGTCAACGTACTCACGGATTGCGCTGTGCTGCATAAGTCCACAGGAGAAGTAATGCTTGATATTTGATTTAGCGTCTTATGATAATTCCTGTGACTCTTTGTGCATGCTCCCGGGGCGGTGTTATAGCGTGATCTTGTGTCTAAGTCGCATCACCAGTATTCAAAGGCGTAGTTACACATTTAAAAATATAATTATTTGTGTATTAGTAAACTATCTGGTATCAAGTTTAATGTAAATCAGCTCATGTGTTTTTTTTCCAAGTTGTTACGGACGGACAGATATGTCGAAGCTCGTGGGTGCATATAGGATTTGAGATTTTCGCGGCGAATGCAATCAATAAAATCTTCTCGGGTTAACTCGGCTGATTGCCCGAGAAGATTTTATTGATCATGGGTACATTTCTGCTCGTTTTGTTTGAAAACTAAATGTAAGAAAGTAGCTGTATGTTATAGGACAAACAGGTTTTTTGCAATAAAGTAACACATTATTCGTGTGCCTCAAAATTTTGGAAAAATAATTATATTTTTTATCAGGTATGTAAAAAAAATTGATATACCGAAATAAATAAATAAAACCTAAGACAAAAAGGAAAAGTAAAATGAGGCAAAAGATATAGGAAATCGTACATTATAACAAACACAAAATAAATAAAAACGATAAACAGAGAAGAAAGATAGAATTAGAATTATAAAAAGTAAAGAAGAAGGGAGATAAGAACAAGAATAAATATAAACTGAGGAAGTTAAAAAGAGAAGAAAAATAAATAAAGACTAAACAAAACAATAATGTAAGGAAGGAATAATGAAAACACGAAAGGCAAAAACTCGTCCACGTGGCCTCGGGGGAGCTAGGAAACTGCATCGTAACACTTGCGAACATTTGTTGCTGCTTCTGATGGAAATCTGAGTTCCGCACATGTTAACCTGGGGACTCGACACTGCAACATCCTGCAACATGTCCGTGTATTTGTATTGGTATAACACCGTAACATGTGGGAAATGTTAGGGAAATTGTCACTGGGTGGGGATTGGGTCAATCGAGGTCACCAGGTTATATAGCTCGTAAGCCGAAACAGACTGCAACGCCACCTACAAGAATGAACCAATTTGTTTTCAGACTGTTATGAAAGAATACCACATCAGCTCCTGACAAGTCTACGGAGTTCGACATTAGCCTACCCTCGCTGTTTCCACGATTTTCCGTGGCTGGGCAACCGAGATTCGATCCTCGACACGGGTAGAAATTTTTCTGTTCGGCTACCCCTGAAAACCGGGTCTGGAGACTAACAATCCTTCCATCCAATGTTTACCGGGGACTATCCTGGGATTTAAAAGGCCGGAACGTGATGCTGGTTAGTACCACTAATGATCTGCTTCAGGCCGCGGATAATGGACAGTTGTGGCGCGAACACGGCGGGTGTGAATCTCCACGCCAGTTGAATAACACAAATTCTCTTGAATGGAATTCCGGTGAATCATCACGGTACAAGCAGCTGGAATGTGGTTCTTCTTCCTCTGCTGCTGCAGATTCTTCAAGCTGACCCTGAAGCAAACCACGTCGTGTGACAGCTTGGATGGTGAAAGTGGTCCAGTTTCCGACCCAAGCCTTTCTTTTGCTCTACCTTCGACGGACGAACAGATGAAGGCGAACTTCGCGTTATGTAACAGACCAGTGGGCGATGGATCACTTACACTAATTGTATGTATTTACCTCACTTTGCTTCTTTTATCTTTCTACGTTTACCTTCACACTTTCCTTTTTATTTCGTTTTTAATTCTCCTTCTTTTCTCGTGTTTCTCTGTTCCTTCCTCTCTCTGCTTCTTTACGTGAATTATTCTTTCTTATTCTTATTCTCCTTGTCTCTGTCGCTTTTTGCATCTTATTCCATTCTTTATCCACTTCCCTTCACATTCTTTCTTCTTTTAATTCTTCCTTATATCTCCACTCCTTTCTTTCTGAATAGATGATACTTAGTCTAATGTTGGGAAATTTCCATAATAGAAGTTCGCACTTGGGTTCCATCCTAAGTCAGCTTAATCCAATTCACAATTTTTTTTATTGAGATTCATCTAAAAATGATTGCCACCGCAGAAGAGACATTTAATGCTCAAGATTCTAGAAACGACGAGGCTTAGAGTTGTGGGAGACGAGTGACGGCGTGTGTACGTCCATTTTCGATAAATCGCCAGTAAATTCACACGAAATTTGAAACCTACTTGTCTGTCGCCTTGCTACGTTTCAAAACTTTCGTTTAAAGACAGTAGCAATTTCTTAAGCTCTGTGTTGGAGAAACTGCATAATATTCATTAGCCAACAATGAGACCCGATTGTCTTCTATTTTCAACGAGTTCCCAGTGTAAAAACAAGAAAAAGGTTACAGTTGTCAGCTTCCATGCAAGTTCACTTTCAGATCTATTATGCAGTATTCGATGTTTCCTGTACTTGTAAACTTATTATCATTTGTTTGAATATAGACAAATTTCTGAGCTGGAATGACTCTATACGTTCAAATATGTAGGATCCTGTTTATGTGGTAATACATCAACAAATATGAACTTCTATTAACGCAATTTTAGCAGAACACAAACAAAATTTAGATATTGTTTGACAGAGATGGTAGTTGAAGGGTTTGAATTACAGATGTCGAATTTTCTCTGCAAATCATAAACGATGTGCATATCTGCTATTTTATAAGCATGGAAGACGAAACTAAACGGCAAACTGTAAACAGTTCTGATGTAGAAAAATTACATGAAGATCTGTTAAGAGATGAACCAGTTATTAAAGCGCCTTGAGTCGGAACAGGTGTATTTCTGTATTTGTGACACTGTTACAGAACATCGAGTGTTGTCATGGATATCTTCAAACTGTGACCTTGTTGTGGTACAGATTTCGCTGTAACACAGCGCCTTC